CTGGTTAAGAGGCTGAGAGAAGTTCAGTGGTAGAGCACATGCTGGATTAGACAGCCAGCACTACAAAATCAAAAGTCTTAAGATGGTGAATTTCATGTTGTATACGTTTTATCAATATAAAAAATTATGGGAAGGGCTGGGGTTGTGGCTCAGCAGTAGAGTGTTTGCCCCTCATATGTGAGGCACTGAGTTCGAGCCTCAGCACCACTTAAGATATTGTGTTCATCTAGAACTAAAACAATATTTTTTTTAAAAAAATTAAGAAAATAAAAGCTAATGGAGAGTGAAACACTATGCTAACATTAATAAAAAACAAACAGCAGTAACTAACTTTAGAAACAAACAGACTTCAAAGCCAGGAAAGGTTCTTTAATATAATGTACAAAGATAAAGAGATCAATTCTCCAAGAGTCATAACAATGCTTAACATGTATGTGCCCAACAAAGCCTCAAAATACATGAGGCAAAAGCTAACATACAGCCAGGTGCAGTGGCACATGTCTGTAATTTCATTGACTCAGGAGGTGGATGCAGGAGGATTGCAAGTTTGAGGCCAGCCTCAGCAACTCAGCAAGACCCTAACTCAAAATAAAAATAAAAAGGGCCAGAGATGTGACTTTGGAATTAAGCACCACTGGTTCCCCCCCAAAAAACTAAACTGGTACAGACACCTTGGAAGACAGATTGATGGTTTCCTACAAAACAAACCAGACAATACAGCAATCACATTCCTTGACATTCACCCAAAAAAGCTGAATTCTTAACATATATACAAAAACTTGCACACTGTTACAGCAGCATTATTTTTAAGTGCCAAAACATGGAAGCAATCAAGATGTCCTTCAGCAGGTGAATGGATAAACTCATTTGCCAGACAATGGAATGATTCAGCACTAAAAAGAAATGAGCCATATAAAGATATGGAGAAACCTAAAATGTATAATATTACATGAAAGATAATTTGAAAAGGCTACAAAATGGTATGATTCCAACTCTATGACATTATGGAAAAGACAAAATTATGAAAACAGTAAAGAAAACCAGTGGTTGCCATAGGTTAGGGAGAAGGAGGAATTTTTTTAAATTTGGGGGCATTGAAACTACTCTGTATGTTACCAAATGTGTATATAAATCATGAATTTATTGGAATGTAAAACACCAAGAGCTACTTTAAACTATAGATTTTGGATGATAATGATGTACTGATAACAGGTCCCTCATTTGTAACAAATGTGCCACTTTGGTGGGCAATGTTGATAATGGGGAAGGCTATGAAAGTATAGGGGCAAAGGTGTATGCGAACTCTCTGTACCTTCTGTTCAATATTGCTGTGAACCTAAAATTAAACTTTTTCAAAAAGGTCTGTTAAAAAAAATGCTTGATATCATCAGTCATCAAATATGAATTAAAACCACAATAAGACCTATCATGTTACCTTTCAAATTGGCTAAAATCAAAAGTACTGATGAGGATGTAGACTAACTGGAGATCTGATCCACTACTGGGGATGGAGGGGAATACAAAATGGTACCGCTACTATGGAAAACAGCTTCACTATTTCTTAAAAAGATAAACTTGATCCCAGAGGTCCATCCATTCTCTTTCCTATGGAAAACAGCTTCACTATTTCTTAAAAAGATAAACTTGATCCCAGAGGTCCATCCATTCTATTCCATATGGAAAACAGCTTCACTATTTCTTAAAAAGATAAACTTGATCCCAGAGGTCCATCCATTCCATTCCATCCCAAAATATTTACTAAGGAAAATATATGTCTCTACCCAAGTCTTGCTTATAAATTTTATAGTAGCTTTATTTGTAAAGGCATAAATTGGAAATAAGCCAAATATTTGTCAAGAGGTAGGCAGAAAAACTGAGGTACATCCTTATTTTGGAATACTACTTGGCAATAAAAGGAATAATCTATTCATGTCTGTTGCAATATGTACAGATCTCAAAACTAATAAGCTAAGTATGTCAGACAAAAAAAGAGCATACTGTTAAATACCATTTATATAAAGTTCTAGAAAATACAAATTAACCTATACTGGCAGAAAGCAGATCAGTGGTTGCATGAGAAAAGGAAAGGGCACAGGAAGGTTTTCCTGGTGATGGATATGTCCATGATCTACACTGCAGTGATAGTTTTATAACTTTCCAAACCAGACAGAGAAAATAATGAGCAAAGAGTCATCAAACCAGTTTTATACTATACTGAATATTTCCTTAACTCACCTTAATCTAAAGAACATAAAACTTATAGAAAAGCTGAGGAATACCTAAAATATATGGTGTTTATTGTACCCTGATTATATGTTACGCTGTACATTAAAAAAATGAAAAGAAAAAAAAAGGGAAGAGGAGGAGGGAAGAAGAGGAGTTAGTGTGAAACCACTGCCTAGCAACAGGGCTTTACTAGATGACACAACAGCACTGTGGAGCAATGTTGAGGCTCACTGGAAATATGTGACCATAAACTTAAAAACAAGACTATTCTACACTGCTGCATATCTTTTTTCAGCCACATTTATCTATCTGCTCAGGTATAGACACACAGTAGGTACAGAATTAAAGGTAAACGAATTCAAGGCACTTGTTAAGCAATTATGAAGGGAATTCAAGTTATACACAATGAAGTAATTGAAAGATAGTTTGGGTAACAAACAGAATGAGGAGGGACATGAGGATGCAGGGGGAAGTCATGGACGATTACACAGGTCAACAGAGTCATTCAACAAAGGCACTACAGGGACTGGTGATACTATAGTGAAGACAGGCAAATACTTTATAGCAAACACACAGGTGTTTATTAAGTATCCTTCATATACAACACAGACTCAGTAGTAAGGAGTGCAACAAACAAGAACAGAAAGGAAGGTCTGTTTTCTAAGTGAGACTTTGGTAGAATAACCAGAATGACTTAAAAACAACATTCAGTAAGCATTCTCTGAGCTATTTCTACTAGTCAATCTACAGGAGTCATTTCTCCCACTTCATTTGCCCTTTCCAAATGTTAATAGTGATAGTGTTGGAGCTGGGGCTGTGGCTCAGTGGTAGAACACTCGCCTAGCATGTGTGAGGTACAAGGTTTGATCCTCAGCACCACATAAAGATAAAATAAAGGTATTGTATCCATCTACAACTAAAAAAATATTCTAAAATAATGATAATAACGAGTGTAGCTTAACTATAGGTCTGTGCGTTTTGTTTTGTTTTTTAATGATTGATTTTTAGATTAAGCCAGAAATAAATTTGGAGGTGAACAATCAGTTTCCCATTACCTCAAACTATTTTTATGTTGGCCCATCCCAGACCCCAAAAGAAAACTAATACCTTCTCCTTGGTTCTTCTTTTGAAAACAGCTTTAAATACCTTTTGCAAAGAACCAACTTCTTTTGAAATTAAACTTTACAGGAATATTTTTTAACATTTATAACTTCATTTTTGGTAATGTTATCTATCTTTCATCTTGTATAATTTCTGACTCAAGTCCAAGGTTTGGATTATTTAGATATAAACCTCATGTTTAAATTACTTTTAATCCTTTTTATTTTCTATCATCAGGATTTCTTTCCCTTTGATTATTATACATTTTTATTTTCTTTTGAAATCTGTTTTAAATGACTAGAATTCCCTTCTTTTGCCATTAAAGAGTTCACTCAACTTCAAAGTAACTCCAATTTATCCCCGTGTTTTGCTATTTCCAGATCATTAAACAGTATTGGGTTAACAAGGAGGAACTAATCAAATTAAATTTGTTACACACTGGTACTACCCCAATCAGATTTAGAAAACTATATGCTTGGTGTGGTAGTGCACACCTGTAATCCCAGTGGCCTGGGAGGCTGAGGCAGGAGGACTACAAGTTTGAGGCCAGCCTCAGCAACTTAATGAGTCCTTAAACAAGACCCTAAATAAAAAAGGGCTGGGGGTGTAGCTCAGTGGCTAAGTGCCCCTGGGTTCAAAATTTGGTTCAATTTTTGTACCAAACCAAACAAAAAGTTGGTAATTCGAGTTAAATTCACGCATCCTATAATTGCAGTTTATCTCAATTATATTTAAAGGAAAGCAACGTGGTTTTATTTTTGTTTTCCTTTTTAAATACTTGATTCATGTGATCAAATTATTTAATACAGTAAGCTAAACTGAAGTTTTAAAAAGAAGAACAGTGTTATAGGACAGTATTTTCCTGCTTGAGACACTGCTGATTTTGCCATATTTTGAGTCTTAAGTCATCGTGCATCACTATGTCTCATACCATGGCCCTGGCTGTATTCCCAAGTCACCATGATAACCAAATGCTTCCTCATATTTTCAAATGCAAGTGGGCATCTTACAATCACATTTCTAGTGTCATTTGGCAGACTGTGTAACTAAGTCCAGAAATCTGCATTCCCTACTTACTCTATTTTCTTTCCATTTTTATGGCCCTTACTCTAATGCTAATGTCTTCATAACCCTAAACAGGAATAACACAACTTCCTATTTCATTGATTCTTAGGTTTTTCTTTCCTCAAAGCCACTGTTTCACATTTCTGTAAAATTTATATTTCCCAAATATCTTGCTTTATGTCACTCATTCATCAATAATGGGGATAAAGTTCATATCCACCTGGTTTCTAAGACTCTTGAATGTGACCTCAACTGTCCTCATCTACCACTATATTTCCTCTTTATGCCCTTCTCTCTATCCAACTTGTTTCACTCTCAATTCTAGCATTAAAGGTTCATCTCTACACTTTACTGATGCTTCACCTATGAAAAATCTTCTACTTCTAAATAAATGCCACTCGCCTCAGATGCTACTCGGGTCTTACATGCTCCATGATGCTTCCCCCACAGGGTCTTTCATCTCTGCATCCATGTTGAGACTGAATTGAAAGGAGAATTAAAAGGAGGCAACAAAAGGTACATTTTTAGGGAAATATTTAATAAGCTAAGTGATAAATAATTAAAAAGCCCACATTCTATATGAAAAAAAATTCATAAAATAGTTTCACCTGTTTCACTATTTTCAGGCAGAGATTCATATTCTGAGTGATCCAGAGCCAAAGTGTTCATGTCTGTTTGGTCTGACTCCTGTAAGTCCGGTAATGCTGCATTCTCATGACTTTTGTCACCATCACCACTGGCATCCAATCCTATAATTGCAATTTTATCCCAAAAGGCAGTGTTAGAAGAATAATGTTCCCTTAATACAAAACTTACACTTGCAGATACTCAAAATCTTAAATTGGATTATAAAAGATCTCCAGGCTCCAAGTACTATTACAAATCAGGAAACAAAGGAAAAAAAATCAACAGCTTCTCAAAGAGATTAAATAGTAACAGAGGCAAAGATTTGACAATAAGGCTGTTCCTGGTCAAGGCCAGGCTCACAACTTACCCTGCTGGCCGCAGTCAGGATGGCTGGGCACCTCCTCCCACGCAGCACTCACACCTACAGCAGCACTACTTGCCTCCAAATGTAACATATGAGTCCCCCATACTTTCGCATTCGGGTTTAGCTCTGAAACCTTAGTTGTTGGTACCTAGGAAAAAAAAAATTGTATATACATTTGTATCCAAATTTCAACTAAGTGCTACTGAAGGGTTAAAACTGCATCTACAGTAAGAGAATTTAGGGTTAAAAAGCAGAGCCTATCTCTTTACACATACCTCAGTTTAATCAGTTTCCAAAAGTCACAAAGAAGAAGTGCTCAGAACATTTAATTCGCCCCCAGGTTCTTAAGTTTCTCCTAGGCATAAGGCTTCTAGATGCTGAAAATGACAGGTATAGTCCCTGCCTTCATGAAGAGTTCAGTGTCTCACAAACAGTGTAATTATAAATAACTGGCGATTTCCTAGACTATCTAAGATGAATCACAATTTACAAATTTGAATACAATGTAGAGGGGTAAAATTTTAATTATAAAGCTTCAAACAGTCACATAAGCCAAAGATATACAAAATGGAAATTCCTCCTAAGAACAGGACTGTCAGCTACTGGAGGATGAGAGAAAGCTAAAATATCCACCAAGCAAGACAACAAAATCTCTCACATTTTCAGCAGAGCTACAATACTATTTCCATTCCTAAAAGGACTTCCATCTCACCTTCAGAGCTTTCTCAGAACACAGTTTCCCAATCCTATTGGAATGGGAACTCCAGGTGATCCCCATGCTGCTCACCCAAAGTTCTTACATGAGCCCTCACTCCACTAGGGCTTACAACTCTCCACAAACAGGTGTGCAACGTGGGGCTAGTTAGTGATTTACTCTCTAACTTAACTTCACCTGAGAAATGAGCTTTGCAGTTCCCACCTTCTAGGATTACTGAATCAGGGCATTTAAAGAACCCAGCATGGTGCCTGGCACACACCAGGCACACTGACTAACAATTACTACAATAAAGAGTGTTCAGTAGCTTAGACTAGCTATGGTAGTCCTCTGCTCAAACACTGGAGTCATCCCTTCAAAGACTGCCTGGCTCATTCATAGTAACAGGTGAAGTTTTTACTGCAGCCCAACTCCCTTGTGGGATCACCATTTCTTTGAGCTAATTTTTCATCACGAAGACCTCCTTGCTCTTTCTAAATACACTCGCACTTTGTCTCCTCCTGTCCTGTCTGTCTAGAATATCATTCCCAGATACTCCCTAAAATACTTAAGAGCCACTCCCCCCACACACTGGATAGTCCCCACTTTCATGGTTTTTCTACTAGTCTAGCTTACTTCTGCTTAAAGACCTTGAATGACTCTCCAAGGTCTAAAGAAAAAACAAACATCCCAGAGGCAATTGCTCCCCAAATTTTAACTTCAATTTTACCATTACAATCCCTTGACAAACCTAGATAAATTGTCTGCCTTTTCAAACACACCACCAGCCTTCACACCATGGTGCAGGGAGGTAGAGCTACCTAAGAAGGGATGGGGTCCTGGTCTCATGTGTTCTTCAGGCTAATACTCCAGCTGAGAGCAGCCTTGCTGTGCTATGCCAGGGTGCAGTGCTGATGGTACTACTTTCTGTGCTCCATGGCATGCAAAAAGGTGGGAAAGCACTATATTAAGCTATCAAGGAACCACACAGATTAGAAAATTTAAAGACATAATAAATTCACATTGGTTCAGGTGATGAGGCTGGCAGTGAAAACCATACAACATTTTCTGAAACTGAGAGTACCAGGCTTTTGGATAAAATGCCAGATATTCATTCACGCTTTGGAAGCAACTTATTGACTGCTTTTCTAGGCACTGGGTAGTAATTAAAACATCATGCCCACAAAACTAGAGGCTTAAATGAGTACCTATCTGGAATTCTTTTACTTTTTTAAGTAGGAAAAATATAGGGCTCTCCTTCTCCTTCAAGAATATTATAATCAAGAAACACTGATTCTACAATTTCCCTTTTTACCTCTAATCTTCCAGTTCATCTTTGCTTCTACCTCTGTACAAGATTAGTCTGTCTCTCCTCTCTCATCCCCTCACCCATCAAACAAGTAAATGCTCACTAGCTTGGTCGTGACAAGCACAGTGCTAAGACATCAGGCTACAACAAAGAACACATGACCTGCCTCCTGCCTCACAGAGTTAAGGGAGGGGAGCAGAAGACACTCCATACTTCACCACACCAAGCTTTCACAAGTATTTGCATCTTTTTGACCTGTTTTGTTTTTAAATTATTTCTCTATTCTATTTTCTACTTTACTACTTGTGTAAATGGCCTCTTCTAATTAGGCCCAGTTTTCTTTCCAACATCCAATTACACACAATCAAGTTTTCCTACCTCAGTTTCATTCCTCCCACTTAGGACTCCTTTTATCTCATGTACACAATGCACATTCTTTAAATTCTTAACACCAAATTACATTAACCTTTTCCAGTTTCAGCACCTTTGCAAGCAAAGGTCCTATATAACCAATGTTTTGTAGTTCATTATTGCAGATGATTAATTGTGGTGGCTGTGAAGTGGCCATGAGCAGCACTTAGAGAGCTATTACAGCACATGTGGTCTCCTTGGTGTCTAGGCTTGGAGTGTACTGTCTACACACTCTTGGTGGCAGCGACCATGGTTTGCTCACCTTGTATCATTAATACCTAGTAGAGTCAGAGCTTAGCAGGGAGGTGCTTGAGAAATATGCTCAATGAATCAATACCCAATGAAGTGACAACACAGAAAATGATAATTTCCACTATTTGACAACATGTACAAAGTTTTATGCTTTAAATGAACAGGACCCTACCTTTAAGAAGTTATTACCTCTTAAGTGGTAAATTAGCTTAAATCAAGAATCAGAGGGGCTGGGATTGTGGCTCAGCGGTAGAGAGCTCACCTAGCACGAGCAAGGCCCTGGGTTCGATCCTCAGTACCACATAAAAATAAATAAATAAAATGAAGATATTAAAAAAAAAAAAGAATCAGAAGCTTAGCACAATTTTAGGCAGTTAACCAATATTCAATAAATACTGTGATAAGAAAACCAAGGCAGAGCAACATTAAATAACTTGCCAACAAAAATAATGGCAATTAGAAAATTGAGTTCTAGTGTAACTCATTAATGTACACAATTAGTGAGCTAACTTTTTCTTTAAACACTGTGTTCTAATATCAGCAAAACAAAACACTAATCAATGTTAATTTGACTCCTAATAATGCACATACGGAATTTTTTATTAATGATATTTTTTAAAAAATCCAAAGGTGCATTTCTTTAAAATATGCTTATTTGCTTTGTAGTCATATACAATTCTAAATAATTATCAAGAACTCTAGTTTCATCTGCTTGGCTATACAAGTCTTATTTTTACACTGAAAATTTATGAGCAAGCAATGGTTATTAAAATCAGAAGCAGACTGACCTTAACAGCCACCCTCTGAAGTGATTTTACACCAATAGCTAATGCTACTTCTCTGAAGAGAATCACCAATTTCTGATACTCTAAACAAACAAAAACTCATCTGCTCCTCAAAATGAAATATCCATTTTAAAAAATATTATTAATTCATAATAATAGAATAGAGAAATAATTAAAAAACAAAACAAAGAGCTATTATAGCACACTTGATCTCCCAGAATTTCTAGAAAAATACTCAAATTAGCTGCCCACAGAATCATTTGCAAAGCTTCTTACAAACCAGTGGGATCAGTCCCATCTCTGAGATCTGAGAAAGAGCTACATAGTGATTCTGACTAAAAGAAAACAATCAAGATTTTAAAGCCAGTTAAAAGTAGCAAAATTTACCTGCTTTAGATACATACAATACAAAAGTAGCAGAAATTCATAAGTTTGTATTTTATGGAAAGGAGACAGAATGGTCCATCTGACAAGTTACTGAGTAGGAACTAGAGTGACTAATACCAGAGGTGTCATTTAGATGGCGAACATAAAATAGGTGAGATAATAGGGGAAATAAAACCCCAAGTCAAGTCTGTACTGTTCTTGGAAGTCGCACTAAATGAAGTTTAGTAATTCAGAACAATTCACTGACTTCAAAGCCATTGAAGTGTCCACCTTTGGTTGTTTATTTGTAAGATGGAGAAACAGCTGCTATGTAAGATTTAGTATTAAAAAGATATCTGTAACAGCACTTTGGAAATAACCTGAAAAAGTAAGGCAACACCATTAAATGTGGTAATGCTTCAACATATAAAACTGGGCATATCTCATGATTTAAATAAAGTTAATTTAAAATAGAAGGCATGTACCTCAGTTAAAGCCATGCAAATATAGACAGCAACAGGAATCCTTTGCATACTGCATGCAACTACTAAACACTGAGCAATTAGTAGCCAACTGCTAATTGTATGTACTTACGTGAAAGTGTCTATGTTTTTTATTTATTATTATTATTTTGTACCAGGGATTTAACCCAGGGGTGTTTAAGCACTTAGCCACATCTTCAGCCCTTTTTATTTTTTATTTTGAGACAGGGTTTTATTAAGTTACTTAGAACTCTGGTAAGTTGCTGAGGTTGACTTTGAACTTGTGATCCTCTTAGCCTTGAGAGCCACTGAGATTACAGGCATGCACCACCACACCCAGCCATGTATATTATTTTAAAGGCTTAATTTTACACTTTTTCCTCCACAACTATTTAAGGAGAAAAATGGATGAACTTGAAAGTGACTCTGGTAACACTTTTAAATATGGGTGTAGAAGGATAAAAAAAAGGGTTAATGAGCAATTCCTTAAAATTATATGATGGGATTTCTACTTGTTTATTTCCATACTACAGATATTATTATTTGAATTGTACCTACTGCCTTAATATTATCAATGGGTTTTCTTGTCTGATGCCACAAAAATCACTAAAATAACAAACTACTGGTTCAATAAATGAGATTTTGTATTCCAAGCAGTCAGTCCTTTGTGTCCATGGATACATGTGGTTCAAAATTATTTGGGAAAACAACGGCATGTATAACAACATGTACAGCTTTTTGTCATTACTTTTATTGACAATACAGCACAAATATTTCCATAGCATTCACTTTGTATTAGGAATTGTTAAGTAATCCAGAGACAACTTCAAGTATGGGAGGATATGCGTA